ACTAGTAGTAACATTATTGCAAACTCAACTAATTGAATAGTATTACTAAAATAAACGTAATGAAATAAATAACACGATACTAGTAGTTAGTATATCTATACGATACCATTACCGAAAGTATCAGGCAAAGACTGTTACTTTTAGAATTACTCAGGCATAAGTAAAGAAAGTATCAATTCCAGTACTCAATACTAGTACTTAATGCGTCAATATGATGCTAGTAGTGAACGTGTCAATATGATAATAGTATTTTAAATGTCATTGGGTTACTATTAATGAAAGTATCATACAGATAATAGTAGTAATATAATTACTAAGATGAAAGTAATGGAAGTAACAATACGATAATATTAGTATTAGTATTATTAATATGGTACTAGTAGTTAAAATATCATGACAATACTAGTGTACGGATGGAGTTATGACAATACTGATAGTGGAAGTGGCAATACTAAAATAGTGGAAATATAACTAATATACAAATTGTGAAAGTATCAATATGTTACTTGTAGCAGATTATCTGGTACCAAAAACCATTTCATTATAAGTAACATTTTAGATAGCATCACACCCTGGTGATAGGAATCGTAAATTATATTGATGCAAATTGATCACGTCAAGTGCTTTAATACAACTATGTAATGTAATAGAGGGCGCCATATCAATGAGTTTAAATGCATCTTATTTATAATCATTTACTAGGAAAAGCTCATCACTGTTTACGATATTTTCACCTTCTAATCGGTAAATTATTAAACGTTAGTAAATTACTGATAAACTAGTTCATACAACTTAATATAATTATATTTTTGTCTATTTTCAGTACAGGGTTGTCTCCGTTTAATTGTTGTTTAAATTTGTGGAATAATACCTTCAATAAACCGAGCAAGCGCAATATAACGCTCCTCGATGTCACAGTCCCAAAAAACTTGCATTGCAGAATCTTAAATGAGAGATGTACACTTCTGTGTAGACATGGTCGTCATTTACTACCTTGGAATAATAAAACATATACACTACTAAAAGCAAGTCTTGATTTGTCATTGAACATTGATGTTATTTAGTTGGACAAATATGGTTTAATATACACTTGGCTATCATTAAACCAGCCAAAATTAACAAATCTAAATATAATTAAGTCTAATTTACTGAAAATTCAGTAATAAAAGATTGGCCGTCATTTACCACGGATTTTATATATACGTAATACACTATCACTCAATGAGGACAGACATCAACAAAGTCTTTCATTCTGAATTATGAATTGAGATGTTTTGTGGAGATGTGCTGTTAGAAATATTATAGCTCTTTAAAGATATGTCAGGGCTTAAATGATAATGTGTTTTTATTTAAATATACTATATTAATTAAATATATATTAATAAATTGTGTATATGTGAGTGTGTGTATGTGTAATAATGATAACAAAATAGAATTGTTACCACATACGTAACTATGACAGAGCAGTGGAAATATTGTACTCGTACATGTCCGCGTCTATAATGTAATTATTTTAGAGAGATCATTTGCTCAGTTTATCTGTAAAGGAAATAACACGTTGGATAACAATGGCGGGGTAATTTTATTTTTTATATTTTTGTCATAGCGTCTTACGTTGAGCAAAATCAAAACATCGTGTTCGTCAGGAATCGGGAATTGTACTGCACAAGTTTCCAGGGAAAAATATAACATAAAGTAATTAAGATAGTTGTGAAACCATGCATCATTTAATGAATGTGTAGTAATGGTGATAATAAGTTGGTTATATGTGTCTTACCCCTTGAACACCATCCGGTATATTGTAATTGATGGTGATGAAATTACTGCCATGACCGCCCACATTCATTGTACCATGTGGCATGTTCGGAGTGATAACTTTAGAACTGCATTCAACCTTTCCTTGAGGGGAACTCTCAGTACGTTCACAGTTTACTTCGCCGATGGATAACGTCTGTGGTGAAACACTTTCCTGAAATGTTAATTTAATGTCCGTCTCTATTTCATACTGAGTTATTAGGGATGTATGTCCTAACTCTGTCAGTCCAACTTCTAAATTCTGTTTTTGTGATAGAATATCAGCTGAGTTGCCATGGTGAAGAAAGTTGATAGCGTAAGACTGCATACTTTCTGCACGTCCTAAATCTAACTCAATGTGTTCCATCTGCGCCTGTAATTCTTTGTCTCTCTTACCACATATCTCAGTTACCTTGGCAAGAAGTCTCTGCTCTTCTTGTTTTACACGTTTAATAATGTTAGTTACGTGTTGCTTAACTTCTTGTTCTACTGATATTTGGTTACGTTTGAGCTGTTTTCTTGCTTGTTCCTGTTTTTCTTTACAAGATTTCAGTGACGTCACTGCTCTCTCAAGTTTATCTGCGAGACTACGTAAATTAGGAGCGTATTTATTCACGGCATCTTCCATGGATATAATTTTATGATCGATTCCTTTATGATCGATTATACTACACTTTATGCATGCTGTAACTTGGCACAAATCACAGAATAACTCCAGCTGGTTGTCAGGGTGATTTCTACAGAATCATGGTCGAGTGAGATGACGCTGATCGGATTTCTCTAATATTTGGTACTCCTCCACTGTGATCACTTTGTGGTTTTTCGTAACTCGCATACGATTATGTTGTACACTGCAATCTTTACAAAAGAACTCGACGCAGTCATTGCACCAGAACGAGGCTGCCGATGCACACACATCACACTTCAACACACCTTGACCAATCTTGACTTTAGAGAACATTTCCAGCATTTCGTTTATAAACAGATTGTTATTTAGTTCTCTGACACCACCTGGAGGAATGACGTGTGGTTTGCGACAAGATGGACAAGTCAGTTTACCATATTTCTTTTCAATCCACGACTTCAGACATTTCTCACAGAATGTATGAACACATGGTAATATTTTTGGTGATGTGAATCTTTCTTGACATATAGGACAAAGAAGAATTTTTTCATCAATATCGTCCATTAGTTGCTTGTGTGACGTGGCTCCAATATTGCTTGCCATTATGAGTTGGTTATAAATTGAATCTGCAAATTGGAAAAATAAGTGGAAAATTCGATTCATATTTTTATATCTATCATCTACTTGACAAATTCATAAATTCATTAATCACAACTGAAGCGACTATTTTGGGTATTTGTAATTTTTAACAAATAACTCACATAGGAAATCGTCATTGTAAAAATGCTAAATAAACAATGTTTGGCCAACATACACAATAAACAGCACAATCTATAATTAACGGCGACGTTAACACATAGCCGAAAGATTTATCACAACAATCGAAGATCTAAGACAACGTAACATGACTAAAATATTCGCAGAAAATAGAGAATTGAAGATATCGTCACACAATAACGTATATCTGACATAAGTGTCCACAAGGTATGCATGCAAAATATCAAAGCAGTAGTTATCAAGAAGTTAAAAATGTAATTTTAACTAAAAAATTACAAAAGAATTGACTAAAAATAAGAAATTAAGAATATCGTCGGAAAATGAACAAATCTGATATGGGTACACCAAAGTATTTACATAGAGCATATAAAAGCAATCGGGCTGCTAGCCGAAAATATCAATTTTAGCAAAAATATTTGAAAATGAACAAAGTTGACATATGTCCACCCAATGTACATGCATAACAAGTATCAGGGCAATTGGCTTGGTAGATTTTGAAAAGTGAAAAATACAATTGTTGACGAACGACAGTCGAAGACGGACAATCTATATGAAATATAGGAAAGCAATGGATATTGCTGATTTAAATACAATCTTGTTAATCGGCAAGGATCGACTAATGAGAATATTTGTAATTAAAGGGCGTTGCTCGTCGCACAACGTGTGCTTGAATTTCATGTAAAAAAACAATGTATTGTATACATCGCTGTTGAGTCATGTATAGAACATGACGCTACAAGCATCGTCCTTTTACACATGTTATTTATAGGTGTCTAATACAACGTTGTATACTCAGATTGTGGAAAGCAAGTATGTGCCGTATTCACCTTTGAATGATAGGCATTGAAAATCATACAGCCATTGTCAATCATATAGACTAGTTCAAAGAACCAGAATATAAGGACACTAGAAATTACTTATTACGTTTCTGGTTGAATATTTGTTAAAATTATTATAACTCCGACGACTAACTACCAAATCATTTGTTTTGAACTCATGCGTGTTTCAGTTCCACTCAAAACGTGGAAATCTATCACACCTACCCAACATCATCCCCAATTTACATGTAATATGTTTGCAATATAATACTCGTGCTGGTCGCGAGGAAGCTAGATTTGAAATGCCTGGAACAAGGACAGTAGTCCTATAGTGAGGTACAGTTTGATGTAATTTAATTTACATTTGTTGATTAAGACTTATTAATTACAATTGTTGATTAAGACTTAAGTTCTCAACTTTTGCATTTTTTAACCAGTACGAACAATTTTATAGGTGAAAAGCTGTCCGAAACATGCAAACTAATGGAATCATTACCATAGGAATTCATTTTAAAGCACTATTTCATAGAAAACAGATACTATTTGTCAGAATTATTTCATCGTTTAACAATAGTTCAAGTCAAAACAATTTTAAAAAATCTTCTGTAATTAATTCATCTGGAATGATCTTTTTTTCTCGGGTATTTCTGAATAATAATCTAATCACTAAACTCTATACTTGTTAGTATAGTCATAGAAGTTTATTAAAAAATCTGTGATTTCGTTGCTCGGAAACGCAAAGGTAATATATTCTTCATCAATTTAGCCGGATTTTTTTAACACACATTTTCATATTATATCACCAGTTGTATTTTGGTTTCAATTGGTACATATGTCGTGCTCCTCTCCAAATTGTTGCTTCTGAACTGGTAGATACCAGTTCTTCATGCGATAATGTACCATATGAAAATATGAAATATTTGTAATCATTGATATTATTAATATATTTTATTTTAATCCAGAAACTTATATAAATTAGCTGACGAGTGAAAGATTAAAAGTTGCATTTCAACTTTGTATGATTTGATGAAAATCTCAAACTAACTCTCATATCATAATGAGTTTGGATTGTGCACAGTTCAGATCCTGAAACTAATTCAGAAGTACGTTCGAAAATACTGGCACAACCTTGAGTGATTAGACATGACAGCCTAGACAACAGTGACGCAAGCCTACACTGGAGGTCGTGCTCCAATATTTCAGGAAATGTTGCCAAACCAACAGATTTTATTTTTCCAGTAATCACAATGATTAGTGAGAGGTGCAACTTTAATAAAATATCCCTATAGCAACGGTAGCAAAATAATTGCCCTGTACTCAATACGACATACACCATATTTCATTTGACATTTATACTGCCTTTACATTGGGTGTAGGTTTATAATATGACAGGTATGTGTACAATTTAGTAATGCATTTTATACCGCCCATTGTATGAATACGTTTTGTTTTCTACGAAATTTTATTTTATCGCATAATGGAGAATTATGCACAAAGGTTTAGCTCCATTACTTGGAATATTGAGCGGTTGTATTGACAAGGAAAATGTTGGTGATCAAACACTGCTCCCATCCTAAAACTGAGGTTGTGAGTATATACGTAATTGGATATTTAGAGAATAAAGGACGACGTACTGCCTATATTGCGTGATAACAGGGCAGGAATGCGGGCAATAATAGACGAGGCGCAGTACTGTCCGTTATTTAACATCCATGTTCGACAAGCCCTACTATCATGCAATATCGTGCAGTCCTTAACACCAAGAAATGCTGTAATATTGAATATATAGTGTGGTTAGCGCGTCGTAGACGTTTGTATTTCAGTTGCGCATAGAACGATCACCGGCAAACGACATGGGGAAAAAACGCTGCGTGATTGTCCAAATAAATAGGATTTATTAATTATTTAAAAAAATCTCGGTGCGTACAAATTCTGTAAAACATTGGATATTGTTGATTCAAATACAATCTTGCTCGGCTGTTCGTGTATTGACCTTGAGACCTGTCCAGTTCACTGATAAAAGAGACGCATGTGACAAAACATGTGACCACGTGATCAATGAGAATGCGACGTTTCAATAATGGGCAGTTCACAATATGATAATTGTAATTAACGTACATAATTTATTCATGAGTGTACAACGATGTATACTCAGATTGTGCGACCAAATATGTGCCGTATTCACCTTTGAATGCTAGCCACATACAAGCTAGTTCAATGAACCCGGAAATAAGGTCAGAAACTCGACACGTTGAAATTAATTATTACGTTTCTGGTTGATTATTTGTTAAAATCGTTGTATCCCTAACGACTAACTACCATTACATTTGTTTTGAATTCATGCGTATTTCATTTCCACTAAAAACGAAATCAACACCGCGGGATTTTACCGCAAAAATAGACCACAAAATGGCGGTCTCGTCAGGGATAGGTAACACCTACTTAACGATCGTACAATCCTTTTTTAATATAGTTTTACA